CAGGAATTATTTGATATTATTGAACATAAACAATGATATCATAGGTGAATTGGGCAAAATACAGAAAACATTAGTAGTGACTCATAATGTATTACAAAATTCTAGTTATACATTTCAATATATATATATTCTAGCAATATAAGTTTCACAAGCAGGATATGAAAATACCAAATGAACACTTAGGTCGAAGAAATTTTGCCATGTAATTGTACTAGCCTTAATGAAGACGAGTACTTCTCGTATCACAGACAGCTGCCGTGCAAGAGAGAAGTATACAAAATGTCACTCAAGTCCTGAGCTGAAGACTGCAACCTGAAGTCTTTACAGAAAGATGGACTTGACAGGAACATTGGAAAGCTCTGTAGGTTACCTTCTCAGTCTGAAGGCAAGGGCATTCATAACTAAACAGCTCATGACAGATGTGCCCAGTCTTTTCTTAAAAGCTTCTGACATGGAGATCCTACATGTTCCACAAGTAATCTACTCTATTGCTTAACTATCCTTAAACACTTCAGTTTTTCCTAACATTTAATCTAATTTTGTTTGTCACAGTTAAACTCATTATTTCTCATCACAGATCCTAGAGCACAGGTTGTTCTCTGCCTCCTGGGACAAAAATACATATTCGAATATTTGCATCTTCCCACCCACATCCTAAACAGCTTCAATCCCTTCAGAAACTTCCCTCACTGGCCGCCTTCTCCAGAATGCTGGTTTACTGCCTTCTCTTGAATTGAGTTCACATGTCTCACATCCATCTTGAGTTCTCCACACATGTTGACTTGTCAACAGCGACACAATTACAATACAGCTGTGTTATTGTTATAAAAGATGGATTATGTTCTATCACAAATGTTCTTTTCCTCATTGGTGCTGCGATGAGGTAAGCCGTTTTGCAAGATCTGAAGAATGTACATAGCTCCTTCTGGAGCAGCCAGAATAGTACTTGCTACCGGGCACTGCCCAGCTGTGCCTCCTACCTTGCTCAGCATGCTCCAGCATGATGGCCTGGGACTCCAAAACAATAATATGGGAGCTTGTGCTTTTATCCATGGGATCTCCAGATCCTTTTCTAAAAACTACTGCCTAGCCCACAGTTGTCCCTAGCCTTGTAATTGTACACTGTCATTCTTCTCCAACAAATTTGGGCATCTTGTTACTATTTCACTTCTACCAGACCTTTTTTCCTCTTTACCAGAACCACCCTGAATTCTGATGTTTTTTCTCTTTTTCCCCTAACACATCTAGAGACCCTTCCTGGCTAGGGATGCTTGCAGATGTAACAAAGATGTCCTTTATTTCACCACCAAAACCACCTATGTCACTCAGGACAGCTTCTTGAAGAATTTCACACTGGTACTTGTCAGGAATTTAAAGAGTTTACTCAAAATAACCAGGCATTTAAACAGTCTAAATTACTTACCCATCTTTACATATATTGTCTACAAAGGTCTTGAGAAGAAAAATGAAAGCCTTACAGATTGATTTAAGCCTTCCCAGTTTAAGCTTACAGCACCAAAACAAATGCCCTACTTCGCAGCAAGGTCCTGCTCGCCAGTGCTGGTAATCAATACACATACAGAAGACCTACAAGAAAGACCACTGGACTAACTGACCAACCGAAAACATCCAAGGCTGCTTGTGCAAAGAAAGAACTAGACACAGCCAAGTGTCAGAACTTTCTATCTAACTCTTCCCTTTGCGATATGAAGCCTGAACCTGGGAGAATGCCTGAGTGTCCTTAAGCTAAGAACTGAGGCTTGATTACCTAGCTGTAGTTAGCTTGGCAGCATGAGCAAATGCAGGGACTACACCTGCCCATAACAGGAAGGTGAGAGCCAAAAGAGATCCCACATAAGTCTGTATGTCATTTTAAAATTATCTAGAAGGTTGAGGTCTAAATTGCTATACAAAAAAAACCCGGTGCCAACAAAAGGAATTTTTTAGTAGTAACCAGTTTACCGAGGCTTCTGTTTACTTTATGACCTTACAATCAATCTTGAATATTAAATACTTATTTAGCAAGTGAGCAACAGATTCACAAAGGAAAGCCAGAAAAAAAAAAATTTACCTGAGATATCTTCTGGCATGTTCATTTTTGTGGCCCACCATGAGATAATAGCATCCTACTGCAAACCATGACACCTACACATTAAAATCAAAACAGAATATTATTAGATATATCACTCTGACTTTAGTGAAACGTCATGATAGGTGATGCAAAACAGAGGAACAGATAATAATTAGAGAAGTTAGGAACATTTTCACTGAAATCACAGCTTTTCAAATTATTTGATAATACAAACAAGCTAGAACTGCTGGCATGTATGTCACTAACTGGGTTTGTTCAGCCTCATGAAGAGAGAGCTAAGTGGAAAGCTTATTGCTGTCTTCAGTTATCTAATGGTAGGGAATGCAGAAGACGGAGCCAGATTCTTCTCACAGGTGCAGTGATAGGATGGGAGGCAATGGATACAAGTTGCAATATGGGAAATTCAGACTGAGTAAGAGGAAAACAACTTTCACCATGAAGGTGATCAAACATTGGAAAAGGTTGCCCAGAAAGGCATATACATTTATTACTGTAGCATTTGTTTTAAATTATTGTTCAAAGTGAATACCTCACACTGAATATATTTTACAGGCACTTTGTTTTAAAAAAGAACCTTAGTAAAGAAAATTACAATGCACAGAAAATAAAAGCAGTGAGCCATTTTTACTAGCTCCATCCAGAAACAGATTTTGAATCCTGTTGCTCAAACTGGCTATTATATTATAACTTTTATGTGTTTTCACCTAGAAAAAACCACCTGGTAATGAAGGCTTAGAACAACTTACAGGATTATTTGGGTACAAGTCCACCAGTTTGTGAGAAAGATAGAAAAGCTCTACACAGCGGGAAGAAACAAGAGAAGAAAATTAAAACATGCTAAAACATTAAGATGTTTCAAGCCATTTAGCTTTCTATACAAGATATCCAGAACATCTAAAGTTATTAATGCACAAGTGAACAAAAATGTTTTCTGTTTAGTGGTAATGCTTCCAATTGCCTCAAAATAGATTCGGTTTTGCAACTAACTAAAAAAACCCCAACCCATAAGTCTTCACAGCACATAAATAAGCAGCTATACATCCCACCCCTTAAGAATTCTGCAACAACTTTGGTCATTAGCACACATTAAAATAAATGCCTGTAGTATTACACTTCAATGTATCTTGTCAAGGTAAAACACTATTGAACTTCCCACATCTAAAAGGTATAACGTACTGGCTAGATCAATTTCAAAGCAGAATCCTGTGCATTAATATGTTGAAAATAGGACAAAACCAAATAAGTTATTATATTATTTGGAGTAATTTTAAGTGATTACTTTTCTAATAAAAATAATTCTAGTTATGAGAATAACAATTCTATTGTCTATGCAATTTCAAAACAAATAGCATTACAGTACGTAAAACTTCTATTTCTTCAGAGTACAGTGCTCAAAGTGATGAGTTTGTCCTGGAGTACTTTGCATCAATTCTTGGCTTCAGAAAAATCAAATATGAAAACTGGCTTACAAAATACCAACTTATTTACAAAATACTTCTTAAGGCAGACTTAGAAGAAAAGTAAGAGCACTGGCCACATTTTCAGATGTAGTTAACTGTCAAGTAACTGAAAAGTACATTTACTAAACATTGAGAAGTACTAGTACACCTAATGACCTATTTGCATACATACAATGCACCATCCTTTGAGGGAATGCAAATCATATGAGCTCCTTATTCTATTTTCCAATTGGTTTTAAAGACATTCAAGCTACTCACTTGATTTGGATGTTTATATGCAGTCTGAAATGAAAAAAAGCCATCCCAGCTGCAAGTAAGCTATTCTTGTCATTCCAGCAAAGGTGCTGCATGATTATTAACTTGTTTGAACTAAAAAGAGGACTTCACAACAAAGCCAAGGCAAGGAGAATCTAGAGTTTTTTTCTAATATGGAAGAAGCATGTCCACCTAAGCCTACACACTGCTCAAGAGTTCCTTCTAGTTTAAATGAACATATTTTATTTTGTTGTTGATTAGAAAAAGTACACCTAGATACTCTAGGAAGATCACCTCTAAACAGAAATCAAACAACAAAAATGCCACAGTGAAGCTCACTTTCTGGCTACATAGCCCAGTGGTTAAAAGATAGTGACGCTCATGATCATGAATGAATACAGACTCCATGCACAACTACTCCCTGCCCTGCTGCTGTCAGCTCTGAAACTCCCTTCCTTCCCAGTTACCACTGTCTTCTTGAGACTGCAGGTAGCAGGAAAAATATTTCTAATTTTTTAAACAGTATATAAGGGGGTTTCTTGGCATCCTTAATTCTTTTTTAAAATTGAGGCTTTACAATCTTCTTTTGACTCATATTAAATGTTGTGTTTCTTACCATTTGCTTTATTAAGCTCCACAAGTGTCCCTATATGCACAGGTAAACAATTTGCATGGAAAGGATCTTTTTCCATCACTCTAAAAAAAAAAACAAACAAAAAAGAAAAAGTCTGCAATGCACATTTCAAAAATTTCAATGTGTTATAAGCAAGGTGCTTTTATAGTGTGTAATGTTCCACTTAGTTACCACTTTAGGCACCAGAAAACTATTTGTGACTAGAAGGTAACTATTAACAACATAATAAAGGCTATCTTAAGACTAGAAAAATAACTATTAATGTAGCTTAACAGAAGAGGATAACAGAAAATTCTGGCAAGCTGAATATACAATTAGAAAAACAGAATACAATGCACATTTGTTTGCAGGTCACTTGAAATTTAACCAGCAAACAGCAAGCAACAACATTTCTGTTCACCTTTTCCATACATTTTACAGCAACTTTCAAGCAATAGTCCTCAACTTTCAGAGCTTAACACTAAATAGTATGCCTTAGGAAACATATTTAGCTCAGTTTTAATTTTTTATTTCTTGTGGTATTTAGAAACAGAAGATAGTCTCACAGACAACAGACTGCATGCAGGACATGGCTTGTAAGCATGTGCCCTTTTTGTAAGCATTAGCATTTGGTAAACTAAGCAGAGGAAAAAAAAAAAAGATGTCTTGAAACCTATTCAAGGAATCTCTTAAGATCAGAAGTACAACATTATGACTCCATTCTCTGAGAAGTACACCTTGAAATAGTTAAAAGTTTAGCTGACATTTTTAGTAGTTCAAAGCATTTCAAATGAAAATATAAAAGAACATATAAACAAGTATATTAAATGCTCTCTTGAAGGGAGTCTAAAACTTTGAAGTTATATGGACTTCTCAGACTCTCATTTCCAGGCTCTAGCATCTGTGATAGTCTCCTCCTTAGGAGACATTTACTTCTGCCACTTTCTATGTGGCAATTAAGTTTCAGAAACAAAGATGTGATAGTATAATTTTACTGACTTAATTGGGAGTAATTTATTTCAACAGGATCATGATTTTATTCGGATGTTTAAATTCACCCTAACCGTCAGCATTCTCTACAGCCTTCCCAAAATCTTGCCTGTACTGGGCTCCATGGGATATTTTACATAGTGATGGCTTGCTTCAGCTAAGAAAAAGCTGTACTACAAAAAAAAAAAAGGAAAAAAACCCCTTCTATTTTATACTACTAATATTCTGAGACTATGCAGTACATACACAAAAATACGTTTTTTCTTAAAAAGGTAGTTGTCAGGCCAGCACAAAAAATAACTCCACAACCACGTGTTCAGGTTTACAGTAGTTGAGAAGCAATCTATGTTGTTGTTCTGACCCATCTGACATCCAAGCAGCAGTGTATTCCTGAGCCGTGTAACAACCGAGACACGATACTTTGCACATCAAAATTAACGTAACTTCAGTCAGCCAGAGAAATCATACATCCTAACCAACTGATCCAAACCTGTTCGTTCTGAAGGCCAGACAAGAAGTAGGCAGAGAACACACAAAACTGAAGGTACCAGAGTAAGGAAGAGGATGGATGAAGGGAAGTGCAGCACAGTGCTGATTAACTGGAGTTTTGCTCTGGATACTTCTGCTACATGTCGTAAAAATAATGTGTCTTGCCAGGCACAAACTACACATTTTAAATACCTGAATCTTTGTATCAGACTTACGTATGTCAATCCATTGAACAATGATATTCGCTGTAAGTCCAGGCATAATTATTATACTACACCACATGAGAAAAAACCCTCAAAGTTGCTTTGTATACTTACACCGAAGTAAGCTTGTAACACATTTTGAAATCACAGTTATAATAATGTCTTTCAGCTAAGGATACTACCACATCCAGGTTCTCCTGAAGACCATCTACTGATTCAGGAATCAGTGTTTCACTAGGTTTATTATACTGAAAGACAAAAGAAAAAACATGTGAAACAATAACCAATCTAAAAATCAGATGGTATGAATATTTTTAGTTCTAAAAGAATATTTAAGAAGCATTAAGCTTCTTAAAATTCTTAGTTTTAAACTGAAAGTCCATAAAACATGTATTTGGTAAAACAGTTTTTTATAACATACTTAAAAGCTCATTTAAAACATGAAAGATGTTTGCCAGTGTCAATATCTTAAGTGCAGGATGTAGAAATGAATACTGAGCAATATATAGTTGGCTTTCAGAGTGCTCACATTGTCTTTGGAAAAATGGAATAATGTTATATCCTAGTATTTTCAGGTAACTGACATTTTGCCTACATTATTAACATTCTTTTTCCCCACCTAGAAGTTTCTCAAGAAATAAAGCTAAAAAAAAAAATAAGAAATCAGAATTTCAAGCTGTCACCACACCAAAAAATAAGTTTACACAAAACTGTTATACTACCCCCATAAAGTGATATCTACTGCATCATGGATTTTAAAATAACCAAAACTACAATGCCCTTATTTATTCCAATGTTCAGAATAAATGAAATCCAAGAAAATTTACACCTGAAGTCAAGACTTCCAATCAGTTCTCCAGCTTTTAGGTCAGTTTTGGGGTTTACCTTTTTCAATTTATTCTCAAATAAAAAGTGAAGCAATTCTTGTTCTTCTTCTGTACATTGTCTACTAAGAGGTAGAGATTCAAGAAGTTCTTTTTCTATGTGAATTAAAAAAAAATTAAAGCGGTCATGTTACAGAAGAAATAGCAAGATTCAACATTGTATGATGCTCATCCCGAAACTACAAGGAAGATAACAGTACAGATACACTAAAACAGATAAAACTACTAATTATGGAAATTAATGATTGAATTCTTAGTTTTTCCTTTTACACTTTTAAATACAATTTAACGAACATGACATAACACACCACTATTTTTATTTACTCTACATGTCAAATTTTATCACTCAGAATGTTATATTAACCAATGCCTACTGTAACTAAGCAAACACCAGTAACATTTCATGGACTCAAAGCCGTGAAGTTGAAAACACAGGAAAAACATTGTTTAGGCTGGGCAAAGAGTGTGGGAGCTTCCGGAACTAACAAACAGGGCAGCTGGGTTACTTTGTTTCTTTTAATCTTAGCACTGCAAGACTGAAAAATTAAGTTCAAATGTAAATTTGAGCGGATTATAATTTTCACTCATTTCATACATTTTCTATTTTTTCTTAACATTTTAAAGTCCGTTACTTGTAGTATTGCTTTAACTTTTACCCAGGATAAGGCATATTGAGAAAGCAGCTAAATTTTACTTGTATTTGAGAAATACTGCTATCCAGACCTTCCTGTGCCGTCAGCATATGGTGCGATGTTAAAAGATCAAATGCTTCAAAGCAGTAAACATCAAGCTTCAAGGCCTCTTTGTAGCTGTATGTTGCTAGGGTTCTATTATCCAAAGCATCATAGATCTTCCCTCGCAAAAGGCATATAGAGCTCTTGATCTGGTGGAAAAGCAGGGCTGGAGGTCAAAGACTGAATCAATGTTTGCAATTTGGTTTTGAGCACAAATCAAATGGGCTCCCTGAAAAGTAAAAAGCATTTCATGTATGATGGAACCTGGTTTTCTAGTGCTGTCTTAAAATAAAAGTATTGTCTCTACTAGCTTAAAAAAAAAAAATTAAATGAATACCCTGTCAGGTTATCTACTGCCAAACGAACACCTGCTTGAAATAAGTAGAGGGAGGATAGAGTTTATCTTTTCTACTTCCAGCATCCACCTCTCTGATACCGAGTTGTAAGCTATTTATGCTAAATTCCCTTCATAGTCAACACAGGGAAATTGTCGCTTCCAAAGCCAATTCACTTCTTTGCTGACTATTAAACCACATATTTCATGCAAGACAAGAACGGCCACAGTTGAGATGAAAAGGGCCAGATCAATGGACTCAACTACTTTGAGCAGAAAAATACACCCTTCTTGTCAACCCAAAACATAGATGTTTCAAAAATGAAAGTCGTGAAAGATCATTATTACCATAAAGTTGTGCTAAGATGTCTAATAACTAACATGTTCTTTCAAAACTCCATAGATGGGTGTTCAATTCAGTCAGAAGGCAACAGAAGTGTCAGCAAGTTACTTGAAGAAAGTTAACCCATTTCATGTATCGTTTCACTATATCATCAGACAAACGAGACAGACCAACTCTCTCAGGAGTTCACACACTAGAAACAGTATAGCTGCATTAACAACTAGTAAACCCCAGGGGGCTGCTAATGTGGTAATATTGTTACCAGCTCAGAGACCGGTCATTCTTACTCTGGAACTAGTGACTGTGGAAACTAACTACATTAAGTTGGAAAAAGCTACATTCCTAGAGAGGAGTTTTGATTTAAAAATTTTTGTAGCAGTCCCCACTTCAGTAGTTCTGTCCTTTGGCAAACCAAACCCGCCCTCGCATGAGTGAACTACATTATCACAAGCATTTGTGAAGGCACGGACTGATGTAAGTTGAGTTTTTTGGCTGGGTTATTTTTCCGTCAAAATAGTTTCCCAGTTTAGTTCAATACTGACCCACGCAAACACCTGGGCCAGAGTACCATGGAACGGGGAGCAAGAATGAACAGCCAAAGCTGAGGACTTCTTCCTTTGCTTGCAGTGGTAGCTTAAATGTTCCCATTAAGGTGCACCGCAGTAACTAAGTCTGATCCACTTCTCCCTTAAGCCCATTAACACCAGCATCCGATATCCGTTCACATCGATGATTTAACCCATTTTGCTACTTCAGTCTTACAGGGAAAATGCCATCTGTCAATCACCTTCACTGTAGTTTCAGCTAATAAACTTCAATTCATAACTCCGAAAGTAAAGACTCTTCACAGACTCTTCAGCCTACACGTGGTACCGATCCCTTTTCACTGTATGCCTATACAGAATTATTTCACTGAGCTTCAAAAACTTCACCTGCGCGTCACATAATTTTCAAGTGTGACCAAAAAATGTCCCACTGAGAACAACACTTGAGTCATTAAGGAAATATTTCATTAAAAATATCTGGAGGAGAAGAAAACTTGCTTTGTTACTGTAGAACCGCCAGCCCAATTGAAAGAAGTGTTAGCTTACATTATCAAGACTGAAATTGCAGCATAGAGCTAAAAGACTCTAAAAACCAATGCTAGATCATGAACTTCCTTCCAAGTGTCTGCAAATAATTTATGGGAAGTTGTTGAAAAGCACTCTTCATTTTTGCAAACTAAGTTACTTTCATACAGGCAAGCTAACATGCGACTTCTGACTGAAAGGAGAACAATTCAGCATTTTTGAAAATTACGTTATCTAAAAAAGAAAGCTTAAACACAGAGTTTCATATTCATGCAGCTGTAAAATCACTTTCTGACCTGACACATTTTTTTCTCAGTTATAAAAATATTTCTTTAAAAAAACATCACTTACAGAGGATTGTGACATCTCCCAGTCTGTGGTAGAGTCTTTCAATCCACTTTCATCCTTCAAGTACTTTTCAAAAAGTCTTTTGTTGATTGGCTCTTCCATATCAAGAATATCCAGGGCCTGTTGATGTTCTTTTGCAGCATACTAGCCAAACACATGCATGTAAAAAATAAGGTTGGGATTTGAAACATCTGTACGTAAAGCACCAATAAACACAGCGTCACATTTCAAAGGCACAGACTGCAACAACCAGTGCTTGTCAGCAGGTTTTTCATGCATGCATATTCTTATTTGCACATATGTCCTTTTACAATTGCAGCCAACTATTTTACTAGTCGTCTATGATACGCAAAAAAATATAAAATTAACACCTACAGAAAAATCTATTCTTCAGCTTTATGCAATCACAGAAGCAAATATGCTTCTAAAAATAGTTAATACAAGTTTTAATAAAATACAATGATCTTATTCTATAAGCAGCACATTATTCTATTTCAAATTTCTATATCATCATAGAATAGAATCATAGAATACCAGGTTGGAAGGGACCTCAAGGATCATCGGGTCCAACCTTTCTAGGCGTGAGCACAGTCTAGATGAGATGGCCCAGCACCATGTCCAGCTGAGTCTTAAACGTGTCCAGTGTACCAGAGTCAACCACTTCCCTGGGGAGATTATTCCAATGGTTGAGTGTTCTCATCGTGAAAAATTTCCCTCTCATACCCAACTGGAATCTCCCTGGGAGTAACTTGTACCCAAATATTTAATCTACCAATTGATTCAGTTTTCCTGTGAAAGCACTGCATTTTACTATTTACATATCACATTTTATACAGAAGTATAAAGCTGCTAACTATATTTATACAACCATAAATCAGATCTCCTCTGGTCAGACTACAACCAACCGATTAAAGATGTAAACATGAAGACATGAGACGAAAACGGTTCATGTTCTTTCCCTGCAAAATATTAGAGGAGTATTTTCTTTCTTGGAAAAAAAGGTTGGTTGGATTTCTTCAGAAGAGTGCCACAACAGATACTCCAGTGACCATACTGAAGGTTAGAGAATGTAATCAACTGTTACAAAATCTAAACCTGTTATTCTGATGAACATAGACATCTACATTGCCTGTCAGGTACCTCATCTTCCCAAGATATATTTTTTATTTAGTTTGGTTTGTTTCCAATAGAGGTTAAAACGTGTACTCACATGACACCTAGCTGCAAGGTAGCGACATGCTTCATATAACTGAAAGAGAAATTTCATACATATTAGTTATAAAGAGAGAGCATGTATACTTACACTGCTGGACTCCATTTTTCTCTCTCCTTTTTCAGTTGTATGGGTTTTCCATCCCTTTCACCTCCAAAAATCTTTCCTGACCAAAATGACTAAGTCTGTAAACACTTTCTCTACTATTGAACTCTCAAAGGACTCTTGCTTCACTCTTGCCTTCATCATTAGCAGAGCGGAAGGACAATTTAAACAACTACAGCTGAAGTGACACTCCACCTTCCTATACCTGCTGCAGTTACATCCTTGGACCCCTTCATCTGGGGACAACAGTTTCAATCTGGCCGATTGAACATAGGGCTATACTTGCTTCAGATAAAAAACCTGCATGATGTAGTTTAATTACTTTTCCCATAAACCTTATCCTCTGATGGTGAAGAAGTCACTGTGGTTAGCAGCAGAGGTTTAAAAGTGGAGTAACGGTAGTAAGTCTTTGACTAAATGGCTTACCTTATCCAACTTCCGCGATCGGAGGGCATGTGCTGCCCTATGATACTGAGCTGTTAGGTAAAGGCATTGGGCCAACCAGTAGATATCTTGTGGTTCCTCTAAAATAAAAGAACAAATTATAAACCATTAATTTATAACGTATCTTTAAACACTTTCATACAGAATACTCACTTTTTTCTTCACTAGAAAAGTATTTTTCCCCTATTCTAGCATCCTATTCAGTTACAAAGTTTTATTTTTTATATATATTTTAATATATATATGTGTGTAAACACAACTTATAATTTATATCGATCAATGAGAGAGTAAAATGAAAAAAATAATCAGATTTTAACTTTAAAGACATCAGATAACACACTGGACAGTGAATACAAAGAATCTCACACTAGAGGTGTGTCATGAGAAGACGACAACAGTGGTACCGATCTAAAAAAAACAGCAGTTGTAGGTTACCCTGCCCATGGACACAGGGCAGAAAAAACCAACCCAGAATTGTCGCTCTCAAAAAAGACCAGTGGGAACCTAACAACAGTGAAAGTGAAAGCATTAGACTTCTGCAGCTTGAAGTTACGATTGCAGAAGCACAGCTTAGTACTCTCCTACTTTATTGGCAACCAAGGCTTTTGTGGGATCAAGCCCCTAGAATAATTTTAAGAAGTGTAAATAGACCATGGCTGTAGGCAGACATAGGCTACCAGCATCAACTCACTCTGTAAACCTGCATTCCACTTGTCGCCCAGAGCAACAGTGAGTCCTGCAGGAAACCACCATTGTCTCTCATAGCTCACTCTTTTTTTTTGTCTCTTAAGGTAGGCAAACCTTAAGGTTTGGCCAAACATTAATTTTAACACAAAGTTCAAAAGGGAAGGAAGATTGGCCCTGCCCTATTTAGAAAAATGGCATTCCAGAGATCACAGAAAAGCACTTACACCAAACTCCTTCAACATTTAGCCAAACAACTTTAAGAAAACAACAAAACCAAAATGAAACACTATCAGAAAGAAGTTAATCAAAAGCAATGTAAAAAGCAACTGCTTACCATGAGACAGTGAAGCTACTTTGTCTGCCCAAAACAGGGCACTTTGATACTGCTGCTGTAAAAGCATAATAGAAATAGTTAGTATTTATTTGGGGTTAGCTTTCCTGGACTATTTTGAAATATATTGCACATCATTCACATTTAAAATCTTGTGCATGTAGCCTCTAATGGACAGCGATTCACGTTTGAGGTCTTTATAAGTTCAAAAAACAGTTCAAAAGGGCAAGTACTGTAACTTCTAAAAGATATCAAAAAGTAATTTCAGCTGGGGTTGTTCATTTATTTTCAATAAAATGCAGATGTCTTTGACCAAAAGGTATGTGCTACGTAAGTATGGTAATAGGTTGTTAGCTGATTTGATATCACTGAAAAAGTAGCAAGAATCCCCTCCTTCCAGTTAAAATAAATGCTACATTTTAGAAGAAAGAGAATACTATATTAAGAAAAGGTCATATAAATTACTTCAGGAAACTTCAGCAGCACCACTCTGATTAAGAAATTTTAATTCTCCAGTCAAGATGCTCTAACCTCACACAAACCATAGTCCCTGTGTGAATTTCCCCTTATCCTTGGATACTCAGTTTGACTGTTAAGGCCTCAGTTCAGGAGATGCGGGTGAAATGGATAACACTGGTGGCAACTAGAGATCCGATGGAAGCAGAGTTTGCAGGTCTATCCCACTAACTCAGCTAAGGTAGCCATCACATTTGGGGTGCTAGGCAAAACCTCACAGAATTGGCTGAGATTATTCTATGAGAAGATCAGCAGGGGCTACTGTTTTTCATAGAATCGTTAAGGTTGGAAAAGCCCCTTAAGATCACCGAGTCCAACCGTTAACCTATCACTGCCAAGTCCACCACTAAACCATGTCCTCAAGCACCACGTCTACCCATCTTTTAAACACCTCCAGGCATAGGGACTCAACCACTTCCCTGGGCAGCCTGTTCCAGTGCCTGACCACCCTTTTCGTGAAGAAGTTTTTCCTAATATCCAACCTAAACTTCCCCTGGCGCAGCTTGAGGCCGTTTCCTCTCGTCCTATCCCTTGTTACTTGGGAAAAGAGACCGACCTCCACCTCGCTACATCCTCCTTTCGAGTAGTGTATCCTTCTCCATGCTGTCAGGTATAATATGCTTCCCAGATCTGCTGGACATTTAACAGATATCCCGCCATCGCAAGGACTTGCAACACTATAAAAGCCTTGATCACTTTTTCTCTGTCCTGCAACATTACAGTTGTGGAGTTTGTTTACAATCTTAGAGACTGTTTTATGCTTTTGAAGTAGAGATTTGGCAAACTGTTCCAAAATGCACACTGATGGTATTCTAGTCCTCACAAAGCACTACACTCCATGACCTAAGTGGTCTTGTCTATTCTGTATATTCTGTATTCTTACATTCCCTACTCCATGGGGACTAAGAATGCCCCGGAAATTTGCCAAGAGAAAATAGTTTGGTTTTAATCTGCACTGCCGGGCGGGGGAAAAAAAACACAACACAAAAAAAACCCAACAAAAAAACCAAACCAGAACCCCACATATGTAATAGCTGTCTGCAAGAACTGGGTTTTAAATAACTCTCAACACCACAAAAGAAAGGCATAATCCAGGTCTACAGGGCAATATACGACTTTTGTTGAGTAGTTCTATAGTACTATAAGCTGACTATATTACCCAAAGAAGCAGGCCCATGTTCCTCGTGATGCCCCTTCCTCGGGACTGCACAAGTGTCTATACAGCTGCGTGGCAAAGCAGCTTGGGGAACCAGCTTAACTCAAATGACTACAGCAAAACGAAACAATAAAAATCTCCCAAATTAACTTAGGTCCCCAATCAATCTTTCGGTCAGACTTGCTGGCCACACACACAAGTGTTTGTGCTAACTGAAGGGATGGGTTTCTCTCAGTAGCGATGCCAGTATGAAGTCTTTGAACTAGAAATAGAGCAGAGCAGTTTCATGCTATACTTAATCTAATTTATTAATGCATTTTTCCTGTTGGTTATTTTTTTTCGTTTGTTTCTTTGCCCTGCAGCAACATAATTGCTGAATCCATCAACAAGTGAAAACAAGACCGCCCTTCTAATAGCAGTCTGCAGCGCGGCAGGTTAGCACGATGGGCAGCGGTAACCACCGGGTAAGCACGGCCCAGCTTGCACAACCCGTGAGGGAGGGATCCTGCCACCATGCCTGCGCTACCCAGCAGCCCTACCGCTCCCACAGCGGGCCGCCCTCCTCCTCCTCCTCCTCCTCCGAACGAGGAAGAGCCCACGAAAATGCCGCCGTCAGGTTGCGCGGCGGCCGCAGGCCCCAGCTCCCAGCCGAGACCGCACCGCCGGCGCTTCCGGCCCACCGCATCCCCGCCCGCCCCCGCTCCCTCCTCGGCCAGAGGAAACGGGGCATTATTTCAAAATTAACTCCCCCGCCGCGGCCACAGAGGCTGGCACCCGCTGCACCCGCTCCCCAGGCCTCCCTCCGCCCGGGGGCCCGGGCCGG